GATATGTTCGACGAATACTTGAAGATGTCGGCTCGGAGCATCAGGTCATGTGTTTATAAATTTTCAAAAGCTATTATTAAAATATATCATAAAAGATATTTACGCAAGCCTACAGCGAGCGACATCCAGCAGCTGCAGGCAAGGCATGCCGCTAAACACGGCTTCGTCGGCATGCTTGGGAGTATTGATTGCACGCATTGGGAATGGAAAAATTGTCCCACTGCGTGGCACGGTCAATTCTCCCGGGGAGATCATCCCAAGCCTACCATCATGCTCGAAGCTGTTGCTTTGAATGACTTGTGGATTTGGCATGCTTTTTTCGGTGTCGCGGGCTCGAACAACGACATCAACGTTCTCGATCAATCGCCTGTTTTTGACGATTGGGTTAATGAGACCGCACCGGACTCCTCTTTTGAGCTTAGAGGGACGCTTTACAAGCGTGGATATTATTTGGCCGATAGAATATATCCAGATTATTCCACGATTGTCAAATCCCTCTCCGAACCAATGGGTCTTAAACGCCAGACCTACAAAAAAGCTCAAGAGGCGGCGAGAAAAGATATTGAACGAGCCTTTGGGGTCTTGAAGAGTAAATGGCACATTCTAGATCATCCGTCGAAATGTTATTCTCAGACAAAAATGAGGAATATCATGTATGCATGTATTATTCTTCATAATATGATCATAGAGGATAACGAGTCTACGATTTGTCAATACAACCCGGACGAGGAGGTGCCTATATACGAAGAAATCACCGAAGAAAAGAAACGACGCAACCGCCAAGAAATTCGAAGCCGAGAGATTCACAATGCACTAACGGCGGATTTGATCGAGCATATCTTTAGTCGTTCGAATAATTAGTGATTTCTTTGTACTGTTGTTTTTTTTATGTAATATTTTTTTTAATGAATGTAATTTTTTTATGAATGTTTTTTTAATGAATGTAAGATTTTTTTTAATGAATGTAATTTTTTTTAATGCACTAGTCTCATTGCGATTAATTAAAATAATAAATTAAATTAAATTTATTAATTTAAATTTAGAAGATGTATATTTAAAAATGTAAAAAATGAAGGTTTGAAGCCCCAGTTTGAAGCCCCAGGGCTTCAAAACCACTTCCAGTGAATTTTTGGTGTAAGTTAAAGCTGACGTGACAGAGAGAGAGAGTTTGAAGCCCCGGGGCTTCATGACCATTTCCAGTGCTCTCAAAAGAAGATATCTAAATTTTAAGATCTCTATGAACACATACGGAATGTTTTTTTTATTTGTATGTCCGTCAACAAAATAATTATGTACTACCTCCGTCCCAGAGTATTCGTCCAATTTTGACTTTTGGAACTGTTCATCCAAGCACTTTGACTCATCAAATTCTCTCAATGTGTAAGCCTAAATATAGTCATGTGTGATCTTGTTTGATTTGTCTTAACATATAGATTATTAATATATAATTTCTATAATTTTTTAATATACAAATTACAAGATAAATTGGATTAAAGAAGTGCATTGGATGGTGTGTAAAAATGAAAGTGGACAAATACTTTGGGACGGAGGTAGTATAAAGCTATTTGTACCCCATGTTTTTGTACACCACTTTGTACCCCACGGGTTTGCAGCAACACTTTGTGTTGGTGTAAAACTAATTTTTGTTAATGCACCAACACTTTGTGTCCGTGTAAATTTTTGTTAACGCACCAACACTTATGTTGGTGTAAACCATCAAAATGTTTGTGTATAACTGCGGGGTACAAATGGGGTACAATTTGTGGTGTAAGTGTAGCATGACCCAATAATTATAGCTAATTTTGAAAAATGAACTTTACCATATTTTTGGACCCCCACTTTTGAGCCGTGTGCGGTGGCACCACTTGGCAGTCTTCGGGGTCGCCTGTGGCATAATCCTTTATATATAAAAAGGAGACTCCGAGCTACAAGAACGTGACATTTGGCAGAGCTAAAACACGACACGTGGCAGAGTTGATGTGTCACTCTTTTAGACAAATCGGTCGGTCGAACTAGTCGGACCAGTTTTTTTTTTTTGCAATTTTTTCCCAAAAGCATACCACCATGGGGTTTGAACCCAAGATCTCTTAGTCAATTAGGTGAGTTCCTTACCATCCAAGCTAGAGTGATTTTTGTTACAATTTCACTTAACATTTTATAATATTTCATAATTAAAAAAGGATTGTATAAAAATTTCTTTTTAGTTATAAACAATATAATCCTTTAATATAATATTTGAGACTCCGTTTGCTAGAAAGTCGCCAAGTGTCAAGCTTCTGTGGGCTATATTAAGGTGAGATCGCAAGCCTTTATTGGTTGCTTATGTGGCAAATTTTATTAATGATGAATTGACCTTTCTTTTTATTTTAAAATAGAAATTTAATATTGATTTCAAATTTTGGAAAAATTTTACTTAAAAAGATTTAGGACAAATAAAGAATTCATTACTTCGTGACATTAGTTGAGTTTTTATATTTTTTATTTTTAAAAAGCAATTCATTTATTTATTTGTTATGTTGTGATAAATTTAATTAATTATGTTATAAAATCAAATTTGTGAAAGATAAATATAGTATTGTCCGAAATAAAGTTATTAAAGGAAAAGCAATTATATAAAATATAATTTTATGATAAAACTTATTATGATGTAGCAAAAAATTAGTGAAAATATAAAATTGGTATTATCACTTACCATTTCTAGACTAGCATTTTTATGAATCAAATTTTTAACTAAGTGAATACACAAAAAACAAAATTTTGATAATGATATATTTTCATCTAAAAGTATTCTTATATATATGAAAGAACAAATATGTTTATAATTGATCCTTTATTTATAAAATTGATATTTTAATTTCTAAGAAGCTGAGATGTGATGTTGTTTACGAGACATTTCTGACACGTAAAATATATTATAGAAAATAATAAGTTAATACTATGGTATGAAGTCATTTGGTACAATTAATTATGGAAGAGAATGGATATATTCATTTTTATAATAA